CAGGCAGGGCGGGGCAACCCGGACCTTCCATCCGGGCCCCATTTCCAGCCTGGGCCACGGGGCATTAAGCCCGCCCCCAGCCGGGGACCCCTGTGTGCACCTGAGCCCCCAACCGGGGACCCCGGGTGCCGCCTGAAGCCCCGCCCTGCTAAGCCCGCCCCCCAGCCGGGACCCTTATGACTATTGGGAGAGCAAGGAAAAGTGCCGCCTGGGCCCTGGGTTGGCTGTGGGTGTTTCCGGCCCTTCGGTAAGTAGGAAAAAGTTGCGGCCCTGTAAGGCAGCCCCCAAGCTGTGCCCTGATCTGGGGAGCAGGAAAAGCAAGCCCGGCCTACAGGCAGCCCCCCAGCTGCGCCTTCTCCCCAGTCACCATGGTGATCCGGGAGCAGGAAAGCAAGCCTGGCCTGCGGGCAGCCCCAAGCTGGGCCTGCTCCTCGGTCGCCATGGGGATCTGGGAGCGGGAAAGCCCAGCTTGCAAGCAGCACCCCCATCCTGGCCATAGCTCAAGGGAGAGTACAACATGCAGTGGAGGCCAGGAGCCTGAGAGATCAACACAGAGGGGCTCCTGCACCAAGCCTCCATGGTGTGGCTGGGGGCAGGCCCCCAGCAGACACACAAACACACACACACAGTGCCTGCTCTGAGCCTCCAATGTGGCTGGGGGCAGACCCCCAGTGGGGACACACACACACACACACACACGGCAACTGCTTCGAGCCTACATGGCGCGGCTGGGGGCAGGCCCTAGCAGACAGACACACACACACACGGGACACCTGCTCCGAGCCTCTGCTGCCAGACTGTGGCCATCAGTAGGACATCCATTGAGGGCTCCCGGACTGTGAGAGGGGCAGGCTGGGCTGAGGGAACCCCACCCCCCAGTGCATGAATTTCATGCACCAGGCCTCTAGTATAATAATAATAAAAGGCTCATATGCACATTGACTGAATGGCAGAATGGCCAGTTGCTATGATGCGCACTGGCCACCAGGGGGCAGATGCTCAATGCAGGAGCTGCTCCCTTGTGGTCAGTGCACTTCCATATGGGGAGTGCCACTCAGCCAGAAGCTGGCTCATGGCTGGCCAGCGCAGTGGTGGTGGCAGGAGCCTCTCCCATCTCCGTGGCAGCACTAAGAATATCCAACTAATAGTTTAGACCTGATCCCTTGGGGGCCTAAGCCTTTAGTCGGACATCCCCCGAGGGCTCCCTGGCTGCCAGAAGGAAGTCTGACTGCAAGCTTAGGCCTGATCCCCGGGGAGTGGGCCTAAGTCAACAGGTGGACATTCCCCAAGGGGTCCTGGACTGCAAATGGGCGCAGGCCGGGCTGAGGGACATCCCCCCGAGTGCACAAATTTTTGTGCACCGGGCCTCTAGTCATTAAATAAACCTCTTAAAATGCATCAGGAAGTGGGAAAACTCACCTGGGATTCATGCGTTTTCTGCTGCTCTGGGAAAAGTGTAGAGATTGTTAACAGTGCGTGGACCTAAGGGAGAAGAAACAAATAAATGGAGTCATGAGGAACTTGAGTTGCTGAGGCAAGAACCTCTAGCACAGTGGTTCTCCACTTTCTGGCCCTTTAAATACAGTTCCTCATGTTGTGACCCAACCATAAAATTATTTTCTTTGCTACTTCATAACTGTAATGTTGCTACTGTTATGAATCGTAATGTAAATATCTGATATGCAGGATGGTCTTAGGCGACCCCTGTAAAAGGGTCGTTCGACCACCAAAAGGGTCGCGACCCACAGGTTGAGAACTGCTGCATAAAAAACACCAAAGAAACTCAATAAAATGACACCCTGTGAACACTCAGAAGGGCCTAAAAGGGTGATCGAGGAGAAACAAACTCTTAAGCATTGTTAACTCCAAAAGGATGCGAGGCAATTAGACCAGGTACTCCACTGGTGAATATAAACATGGACTCCTTTTACAAATAGTTGTCCATCCTATGTAATAAAAGCCTAATATGCAAAATGTCCCCTTGACCAGGAGTTCGACCCAGAGTTAGACTGCTATGATGTATGCTGACCACCAGGGGGCGGCGCGAAACATGGCGGGCATTGGCCACACAGTGCTGGCAGCAGGCAGCAGTGAAGGTGCTGGCAGCCCCAATGAGCCCCAACGAGAGCGGGACCACGTGGGATGGTGGAGCAGGTAAGCAGGCAGCACCAGGCCAAGCCGTGCCAAGCGGGGCCTGACCATCCCACCAATCACCCTGCAGATGGCGACCAGTGGCGGGGGGTGGGGCCGCCGCCCAGCTCCCAGCCGCTGAGGGAGCCAAGCAGGGGGCCCGGCCCAGATCAATCGTCCCACAGATGGTGACCAGTGGCCGGCAGGCCCTGATCGCCTGATCAGCGCCAGGCCCCAGGCTGGGACAGGGAACTGGGGGTGGGTGGTGGCGACCAACCTCCCGGGGCACCCGGGGAGGGGGCTGCAACCTCTCGCTGGCTACCTGGGGCCGGGGTTGACCGGATGGAGGTGCAGTGAGAATGCGGGGTGTCCACCGAGCTCACCTCACTCCCCCTGCTACCCTTCCC